TGTGTCTCAAATTCATCAACAGTTTCAGGCATTTACCTACCTTTTTGGCAAATAAATTATTTGTCTGAAAAATTTCAGCCCGCTCTTGTTATAGATGCTGGCTTTATTGCTTGGCGTGCTGGCTTCAGGCTGTTCGTGCCAAAGGATTTCATTAATGCCAAAGTTTTCAGTGTCAAAGTTGCTAGTGCCAGCTTCATCAGCATCCTCTTAGCCTTCCTTTCATTGCCCAATCCCGGGGGCCTGGAATGTGCTCGAGAGAGTGCTAGCCAATGCTGTCTTTTCCAGACTCACACTGGAAGTTATCACCTCAGGGTCTGAAGTGACCCACATGCACTGCTCTAGCAGAAACATGAGCCAAGCATCTTTGGTTTTGCAGGTCCTTGAGAAGAAGGACTTTTACATAGAGCACCTATCAGGTATGTGGATCTCTTGTAGGTAGAAGTGGTATCAATTACATCCATCTTTGGTGGGATTCAGTCCGTCGCAAGACAGGCATTGTTTGAATCCTAATGATTTAGAGTCTGCCAAGAGGCGTGGCCACTGGCATGCAGCATCTTACACCATTGTAAAGAGGGATGCACAAAGCAATAGCTGATAGGACCTTCCAAAGAAAAGAAAACTGAGGAAAACGGAAGTGTGAAAATGAAGTTTGTTTCACACAGAAGGGTTGAAAAACTGAAATGAAGTCTTTCAGGTCAGATATTCACTAAGTTTCAGATCGTTGCCATGGGTGGTAAGAAAAAAGCAAGGGAGGGTCACGGCCACTCTACCCTTTATGCCTTTGCACTGAAGTATGAGGCAGTGCCAACAGAGACAATTATTCAAAAGATTCTGATCTTACATGAATGTGCATCACATTGGGATCCACACTGACACATACGCAAAGCAATACGGCTTTTCCAGACTAAAACTTCATTAAGACGAAGTTAAGGATGAAAATATATTCTCTTTTAAAACAAAGAGAAACATTGCTGAATCAGGACATCTGCTGTTAAGTTACCAGCCCACATACAAGGTTTACACTTAACTTTGTTTAATTCCTAGCATTTCATTTGGGTTTTGTTGTGAGTTTTATTGTTTTGTCGGTTTTTCTTTAAAATATATATGCTATTAGCTTTGTTTTCAAAAAGGGCAGAAATCAACTGATTCTTGATTAATCTATGTCTAGAATCTAAGAACAGAGAGTCAAGTCTTGTGAGAATTGTTAATATACCAAAGCTAGAGATCTCTTAATTATCTAGGACATGCTCCCCATAAGAAGGTCTAACACAGCTCATTTTTGGGCAACAGAGCCCAGAACATGGAGGAAGAAAGGAAATCTGTTTTAGAATTGAACTAAAAGTTGAACTAAATTTTTTCAAAACTGTGGCTAATTAACTGCATGTAGGTGAAAGATTAAATTAAATCATTTCCCCAAGAATGTGATACCTCAAATCTGTGTACTGAACACCTTCTTTTAAAAAAGTCCTTTTAGGTATGAATTTGATGATCAAGGAAATGAAATACCTTTATTTAACTTCAAAGAATACAGAAAGATATTTTTAAAACTCAGAAACCAAGTACTGGCAAGGAGCCATCAAGCATACGGCTCAAACAGGCAGCTCCAGAAATATTCATTAGTAGCAAAAAAAGACAGAGGCTTTTGACCAGAAACAACTTCAGTTCCTTTTTTTTTAAGCTTTTGAATATTGTACTTTTTTCAAAACTAAATTCTAGAAATAGTCAGAATAGCAATAGGTTAAGAAATGCAAATAGAGCAGTTAAGTTTTAAAATCATTTCTCTTTCTTGTAATCTTTAAACTGCAATTAATTTTTATTCCTGTGTATCATTTTGTTATTTAAACAGACTATAAAAGGAATGCGCTATTTATGTCTTCTGACAATTTTTGAAAAAAAATTGTACCAAATTACATTTTGCCTGTCCTTTTAGGGCTTTTCTACATGGTGCATCAGTGCTCACTACGTGGGATGTGATTTCTAAAGCACACTAACTTGCTGAGCATTAATTGGTCCATGTAGACCCTACTGATGCATACTACAGGTGTGCTTTCATGTAGTGCAGGCTACTCTTTACTCCAGTATGTCTGGGAAAGTTTATGAAATCACGGTGGGGTACTGAGCAAAAAGACAGACAAGAAGGGGCAGCTCATAATATATCGGATAATTTATATCACATACAGTGTGCTTAGTGTTTGTTTTTTGTGACACTTCTATCACAAATGTATTATGCAATGCCAAATAAAGATTTTTTTTTTTTATTATCTGCTATTTCTTGGTGTCTGGTACTTTCAAAACGAGTCATGCTGTAGACTAGTGATATATATTTCAGTCTGATCCATAGTATTACAAATATTAAAAAGCTGTTTAGAAAGAATTCATCAATGAAATTATACTTGGAAAGAATCATAGTAGGAAAGGCTTAATTATTTAAATTGTTACAGGCGAATTATTATAATTGGTGCTAAGTAGATTCCCCACCCCCTCATCAACTGAAGTCTTGTGTGTGTGTACAAACCAATGAGCAGGGCTAACCTTCTCAGGATTTGTCTACATAGGAAAGTGTTACAGTTATACTGGTATAGCCTCCCTGTATGGGCATATTCTGGAGTAAAAGTAGCTTTTTGTTCCCTCCCCACTACTTATTTTTGAAACATTAATTCACACCCCTTCCAAAGCAACATAAGCAAAACTGAAAAACTCTTATTCCAGAATAACTATTCACACAGGGGGTTATACTAGTAGAACTATATTGGTTTAAATTCACATTTTAGTTTATGCCAGTATAAAAAATTTTCCATGTAGACAATTATAAAATAAATCAATTTGAATATCAATAGTGTACTTACATTTCAGTGTAGAGTATATAGAGCAGTATAAACAAGTCATTGTCTGTATGAAATTTTAGTTTGTACTGACTTCCCTAGTGATTTTATGTCAGGGGCCTCAAACACGCGGCCAGTGGGCCACGGTGATTTTCTGCGGCCTGCGAGACCCTCGCAGCCCCCCCCCCCCCCCCGCCCTCTCCCAGTGTTTACCAGAGCGGCCGGACAAGCACCGGGAGCAGGGAAGGCTCCCTGCCTGCCCTGCCCTGCGCAGCTCCGGGAAGAGGCTGGAACGTGGGGAAGGGGGGGCGGAGGGGCTGTATGTGGCTGTTACTTTAGGCAGCGCCCCCAGCAGCTCCAATTGGCAGGGAACGGGGAACCGCGGCCAATGGGAGCTGCTGGAAGCGGTGCCTCAAGCAACAGAAACGCACAGCCCCTCCACCCCCCCTTCCCCATGTTCCAGCCTCTTGCGGGGCAGGGCAGACAGGCAGGGAGCCTGCCCTGCCCCCGGTACGCGCCGGGCCAGATCCTGCCCCCTGAACCCCTCCTGCAGCC